ACCAAGTTTATATGATTTTCTAAAGAGAAATAGATACTGCCCATTCCCTGTGGATCTTGTTCGAGAATTTGGACGTCAGCTTTTGGAATCTGTAGCATGTATGTGGATTAATCTTGGCCTTGAATTATATCTCGATTTCTGTATTCTTTTCCTTTTCTGATCAATTTTTTGGGATTTGTTTTTTAGCATGTTCTTTTTGTCCAGGGTGTAGCAGCAAATGTATAATTGTGAGATTTCTTATTTAACATTTTTTTATGATTAGTCATATCCAACAAATATNAGCATGTTCTTTTTGTCCAAGGTGTAGCAGCAAATGTATAGTTGTGAGATTTCTTATTAACATTTTTTTATGATTTGTCATATCCAACAAATATGCATGATTTACGGTTAATTCACACNGTTTTTTAGCATGTTCTTTTTGTCCAGGGTGTAGCAGCAAATGTATAATTGTGAGATTTCTTATTTAACATTTTTTTATGATTAGTCATATCCAACAAATATGCATGATTTACGGTTAATTCACACCGACCTAAAGCCTGAAAATATGCTGGACTGTGTTTTTTGAATGGGCTTTAGTCTAGACTTGATCCATGTGTTTGAGGTANCGACCTAAAGCCTGAAAATTTACTGGACTGTGTTTTTTGAATGGGCTTTAGTCTAGACTTGATCCATGTGTTTGAGGTATTCTGGTTGCTTGATTTGTATGCTTCCATAAAAAATCGAACAGTAAATAAACTAGGAGGAGGCAGAAAACCTCTTACGAGTAGCATTGATCCCCCGTTGATCATGTTGCCGTAAAAGTCTGATAGAGAAAGGCATATCACCTTGATACAATCCCGTTAAAGTATTCTATCCAACTTTTTAATAGTGTATTTAATTTTTTCTATTTTGCCATTTATTCTTGGTTCATGTATTATGTTCTTAGTTTAAAAAAAAAAAAATTAGTTGTGGTAATATATTATCGCTATATGTTTTAGGCTAAGCTTCTGATTACTTCTTGTTCAATGTCAAAGTTTCGTTTAAATTCACAACTGAAATTTCTTTCTTATGTGTCATATCTCAGGTGAACTGTGTTGTAATGCGTGGATTCAATGATGATGAAATCTGTGATTTCGTAAATCCAAGTAAGG